CCCTGCTTAGCGGTCTGTTCTCATGCAGTGGAACCAGCCTCTGGTCCTCAGCACAGAAAAAGAAAAAATAAATTAAAAGGATGCTCATAAAGCGGTCAGTGGGACTGGCACAACGGCTTGGAGATTAAGAGCTGGCTGCTCCTCCAGAGGACCTGGTTCGATTCCCAGCACCCATGTGGCAGCACACAACTGTCTGTAACTACAGTTCCAAATGATCAGATGGCCGCTCCTGGCCTCTGTGAGCGTCAGGGACATGCATACTGCACAGACACATGTAGGCGAACACATTAAAAACAAAACCCAGCATTAGCCTCAGGGGGGCTCACAGGACAGAGGAGGGCAGAACCCTAGGATGGACAATCAGTCTCAGTTCAGTCATTGACCATGTGATCTTAGGGAACCCCGACATCACGCTGGGCGGTGATATCCTTAACTCTACTAGAAGGCTCTTGCAAGAGGCTTGGGATTGGTTAGACCCAAGGAAGGTCCCAATATAGAGTTATCGAAGCTGGGCATGGGCACACAGTGTAATCTCAGCACCCAGGAGACAGAGGCAGGAGGACCATGACTTCCAGGCCAGTATGGTCTACACAACGAGACCCTGTCTCAGGAAAAATAAAAATAAAAAACAGGGTTGAAGAGATGGCTCCGTGGTTAGGAGCACACACTGCTCCTAGAAGACCTGAGTTCAGTTCCCAGCAGCCATACCTGGCAGCTCACAACAGCCTATAACTCCAACCTGAGCGGATCCGACACCTACCTACACACTCCCCCCTCCATACACACACATACACTTTCTCTCTCTCTCTCTCTCTCTCTCTCTCTCTCTCTCTCTCTCATTCTCTCATAATTAAACACAAATCTTAAGAAAACAAAATTGCCGGGTGGTGGTGGTGCACGCCTTTAATCCTAGCACTTGGGAGGCAGAGGCAGGTGGATTTCTGAGTTCGAGGCCAGCCTGGTCTACAGAGTGAGCTCTAGGACAGCCAGGGCTACACAGAGAAACCCTGTCTCGAAAAACCAAAAAAAGAAAAAAAAAAAGAAAAGAAAAAAAAAAGAAAAGAAAACAAAATCAATTTAAGATGACCTATTGACCCTTTCCCCAGGTTTCTAAAACCTTAGCTCCGCCCACTTTCATGAGCTAGGAAATCTCACTGGCTTTCTGCTTGAAAGGGTGAGCTTAAGAAAAAACAAACAAACAAACAAACAAACAAACAAACTCACTTGTTTTCCTTTCCACTGAAGTAGGCCAGATCCACTTCAGGATGCAGCCCAGGTATACAGTAAGCACTCAATACTTGTTTGTAGAGCAGTGTTAAACTCTTCAGGACAGCAGGACAGCTCCTCTCTGATTGGACATGGGGGGGCGTGGTATGTTGGGGTACCCAACCACAGTGGATGTGGGCGGAGACAGCAAACTGGTTGGGGGTGGGAGGAACCAAGCCCCTCTGGGTGGAACGCCCACAGGGAGCACTGGCCAGTGGGCTATTTCTTTTCTAGGATGGCAATGCAGCCAACAGCTCCTGCCAGCAAGGGTAAGCACAGGGTATGGGGTGGCTGGCTTTTTCTCTTGTCAAATTTCCTGTCTACTTCAGAGCAGGGGGCAGGGCGTGGCAGGACAGGGGCAAAAGAAGGCACCCGCATCCCTAAATGACTGTGGAAGAAAGCTGCCCACATGCCTACCAGTGACCCTGACTGTGAACTGTCTTCACTAAAGTCTGGAAGCCGTGGAGTCCACCCACAGAGGTAGCCGGCGCTGTCAGTACCACTTTCTACGACACCCCAGCACATCACTCTGAGTTTCCAGGGCACCCTCATTTGAGAAGGCTGAGGCAGTAAAATATTAACGGCAGGCGCCAGGGTCATTGTCAACATCTTTGATTTCCCTGTGTGAACATTTTCATGACAAAACACTTGGAAGGAATGAGCAATACTCATACTTTCAAATTCTTTCTATGAACTCAGGATTTCTCGAGGACTGGAAGTTATTGGCGGGGCTCGGTAGAGGGTGACAAGAGAGATGGTGTTTGGGGTCCACAGCTGTCCTTCCTCTACCGGCTACCTCAAGAACGTGTTCATGTTCATCATGGGACTCGGCATTTGATCTTTCTTTTTTTCTTTTTTACTTTTTTTTTTTTTTCGAGACAGAGTTTCTCTGTGTAGCCCTGGCTGTCCTGGAACTCACTCTGTAGACCAGGCTGGACTCAAACTCACAGAGATCTATCTGTCTGCCTCTACCTTCTGAGTGCTGGGATTATAGGCATGCGTCGCCACCACCTGGCTGTGATTTATTTTTAAAATTTATATTTATTTTAATATATTAGCGTTTGTGGCACATGGGTGCAGTGCCTGTGGTGACCAGAAGAGGGCGTCAGATCTCTGGGAACTGGAGTTCCAAGGTTAGCTGCCGTGTGGGTGCTGGGAACTAAACCCAGGTCCTCTGCAAGCACAGCCAGTGGGGATGAGCCCTGGGTTCAAGGCCCCTCAGCATATCTGCTGTACGTGGTGGCATGTGCCTGGAATCCCAGGACACACAAGCATGAGGCCCACAAATCCAAGGTCACCCTTGGCTGAATAGTAAGCTTGAGGCCAGACTGTGTTTCCTGAGACCCTGTCTCAACCAACCAACCAACCAACTAGCCAACCAACCAACTAACTAACCAACCAACTAACCAATCAACCAACTGACCAACTAACCAACCAACTAGCCAAACAACCAACCAACTAGCCAAACAACTAACCAACCAACTAGCCAACAACCAACTAACCAACCAACTAGCCAACCAACCAGCTAACCAAACAAGCACCAACTAACTAACCAACCAACTAGCCAACCAACCAACTAACCAACCAACCAACCAACTAACTAACCAACCAACTAACCAACTAACTAACCAACCAGCCAACTAACCAACCAACCAGCCAACCAACCAACCAACTAACCAACTAACCAACTAACCAACCAACCAACCAACCAGAAAAATCAACCCTGTTATTTCACTAATAAAGAAACTGAGGCCCAAAGCAAGGAAGAGTGTGGCTGTAAGTATCTACGCAGAAATTCAGGCCGGCTGTGATTCTCTGAGAGACATCACCCTGGGGAGTACCAGATACCAGGTAGATCTCCCCTAACTCCCCACTCCACCCACCCACCAAACACACATGCCATTTTGGCTGCAGTGTACATAGACTTATGTGATACTTGCCCAAAGCACTCTGGAGGGAGGGCTGGTGACAGAGACTGGGTGTGTCCTGAGAGCCAGGCTCCGAATTGCTAGCTTGCCTCTCATCAATTCTGTCACAGTGGTGCCCGGTCCTGGGAGCCTCTCTGGAGTTTGCCAAAATAGACAGTCACCATTCCAGTCCACGGGGCCCACAGCACACACCAGAAAAGTATCGCTTCATCCCAGGCAAACAATCAGCCACGTGATCCAGAACAGGTCCAGCACCTCTCAGAACCTCGGTTAAAACGAGGCCGGTCGTAGTGCCAACTGATAATGTGTGTTCCGTTTGGCAGAGAGCTTAGCATGGAGAGGCGGTGATGGTGACCTCTTTCCTAGACTTCGACTCACAAGAGAGGGGTCTCTCCACTCTGGACTGTTTCAGGAAGCCAGGGCTTTGGGTTTGAATTGTGGACTTGACATTTTGTAGCCCTCACTGTCTAAAATACGATAGCTTTAAGGGTAACTGCCCGGCCTGGCGGTTGTGATGTGTTGACTTTATGCATGAAAGTGTTCACAGTGCTTGGCTCACAGATAACTGTGATGGGCAGAACTAACCCTGTTGGTGGATACTGTCCTCATGACGGAGGGGAACCTGATGCCTGTGTGGTAACTGGACCCATTGGGAGGTGAAGCTGAGTGTTGGCTTGGATTAGACTAGATACTACAACCCATTAATGATGCCTGCTGCGGTCAAGGAAGGGAGGCGAGACAGGAGGTGTGCTATCCAGAAGCCAGTCCTCAAGCCCGCTCCCTGGGGAACCAAGGCTTAGCATGGGACCGAGACTCACCCAGGGCCACGCAGGCCATCGGAAACCAAGCCAGCTTCTCTGCCGCCTTGCCAGGCCCTGGTCTTTGTCATTTGATCCTGTGGAGAAAAGTCATTATTTCCCCATTACATTTCCCAGCCTGCTTTCTGGTAAGGGAGTTAATTGATTTAAACTTTTCCAGAATGACAGCCCCTCCCCCTCGCTGCTATCGTGACTGTTCCTGGGAAATGACTAGGGGACCCGTGTGCTGGCAAACACAGAGGTCTCCGGGGAGATGTGGGGCAGGGGTGGAAAGTGTGGCTTCCCCTGGGGATACCCTTGGGAACCTTTACTGTGAATGACAGCTACCGTTGACTCCATCGGTGGAACCTGCCTGCCCTCTGCTGAACTACGCACTGTGTGCTATGCCGGAATCTCCTCCTATGCTGTTTACTGATGGGGAAACTGAGTCACAGGGAGGCTACCAACACTTCCAGGTCCTGGATTCCTTGTCACCACACAAAGTCATAGACCAGAGTGTGGCTAAGACTCTGCTTGACGACTGAGCCTCCCCAGGGCAGAATGGTTGCCCCCCCCCAGCCCCCACACTTAGCTGAGCCACAGTGGCTCTACCAAGGCAAAGTGGGCAAGAGAGGCTCAGAGCTCTGCCAGCCTAGCCAGCATCGCTGACCGATTTATCTTCTTGCTGCAATATTTATTTACGCACCCCATTTAATCAGGATATGCCATAATTAGCGACGGATTCTGTGCCTCCTGCCCGCGGTGTTATTTATTCCGGGTTCCGAGCAGCCACTTTCCCGTGTGGAGTGTTTGCTGGGCCTGGATTTCAATCAGATGGGGCCACGGTGAAGCTGTCCCCAGGGACCTCACGGTGCCACTGCCCCCCTCAGAGTGATAAATGAGGTCGGAGACAGCAGAAGCGGCTGGGCTGCTTGGGGGGAGGCTGCCAGCAGGGAGGGGAAGGGGGTGTTCATGCCAATCCTGGGATCCTGTCATGGTGATACTGCCCCTCCCCCAGTACCAAACAATAGCCTGGCATCCCCAGCCCAAGCAGATGTGTGTGAGATGACACCACGACTTTGCCACTGTTTGGCTGGTCCAGCATAGGTGGCATTGTTGTATAGCTGGGGAAACCCCTGGGTTTGGGGTTTCCAAAGCCTTGAGATTGAGGAGCAATCCTGTACCCACAATCCTTGAGGCCTGGAGGTGCCTTTAGGGACTTGTTTTATTTCATTTATTTACTTCTTTTGTTTATTTTGAGATGGGGTCTAGTTATATGGCCCAAGGCTGGTCTTGGACTTTTGGTCACCTGCCTTTGCCTCCTGCGTGCCGGGATGATGGGTACCGGCTACCGGAGATGGCTTAGGTCTATCTTTAGTCAGTGTCAAAGCCCACGAAGGACATCTCTGGAGGGCGTGTGGCAGGGAAGGGAACGGAAAGAAGATGAAAACAAACCTTCGATGATCTCCTGTGTTCTCTGAGACCCTAACACTCCTGCCGTCTCTGTCTGCTCTGGTGTGGGCAAAAGCCACCTCCCAGGACGACACAAAGTCACCAGCACACAGTAAATGCTCAGTGAGTACACATAATCGTGATCATTGGCAGATTTAGAAGGTTATTTTGGGCTAGAGAGATATGTCAGTGGTTTGTCCAGAGGTCCTGAGTTCAATCCCCAGCAACCACATGGTGGCTCACAACCATCTGTGATGGGTTCTGATGCCCTCTTCTGGCATGCAGGTGTGCAGATAGAGCACTCATATACATAAAATAAATAAATACATCTATTAAAACTGTTACTTTTGCCGAGCAGTGATGGCGCACGCCTTTAATCTCAGCACTTGGGAGGCAGAGGCAGGCAGATTTCTGAGTTCGAGGCCAGCCTGGTCTACAGAGTGAGTTCCAGGACAGTCAGGGCTACACAGAGAAACCCTGTCTCGAAAAACCAAAACCAATCAACCAACCAACCAACCAAACAAAACCAGTTATTTTTGTGCTAGGCCTGGTGATCCACAGTTTTAACCCCAGCACTTGGGAAGCAGAGCAGGTGGATCTCTGTGAGTTTGAGGCCAGCCTGGTCTACAGAGGAAGGTCCAAGGATAGCCAGGATGGTCTTGACCTGCCTAATGTGGGCACTGGGAACTGAACTTGGCGGGACCCCTGGAAGAGCAACAAGTGTTCTTAGCAGCCGAGGTGTCCCTCCAGCCCCGTGCGAGGTTAATTCTTGAAGTAACCTGGCAAGTCAGACACACACCATCCTACAGCTGAGGAACCGCTCACAGGGTGGCCTCGCTGAAATAAGTCCACACACGGCTTAGAACACACCGCAACAGACCAAACGGTTCCAAGTGGGGTTTATTCAGGAGATAGGGCAAAGATGGGGGGGGGGGAAGGGAGAAGAAGAGGAGGAAGAGAGGAAGAAGAGAGAGAGGTCAGGGGGTTCTGCCTGTTTTATATGGGCGGTGACGTAGCCTCTCCCAGGTAAAAGTGAGGTAGCTTGGTGGATTCTGGGAATGTATGGCAGTTGCCTTGGCAACAATGTGGGGGTCGCCTAGATGTGAGGTCATTGGGTTCAGAGTCTGATACCAACACTCGCCATCTTTGCTTTCCAGACGGAGGACATCAGGGTACCCTCAGGAATGACCTCCAACATCTAAGGCTCTGTGGGTGCCCATCCCCTTTCCCTTGGCAGCTACGCTGGCCAATAGGCACGTGATACTGAGCGCTCAAGGTGCCTCTGCCACCAAGAGCTGACATCTGCAGGGACCTGAGTGTGGGCAAGCAGAGGGTCACTGTCAGGTGTCACAGAAAGCCCAGGGCCTGGAACCAGATTGGATCTTTCAGCCTGCACTGGGGACAGACCGACAGGAGTTTCAGGGCGGGAGTCAGCCATCCCCAGGGGACTGCCATTGTCCCTGCCCTAGTTAAGACAGGGTTTGTACTCCTTTGGGGACCACTCCATACCTGCTCTGTAAGGATGGCGTGTGGGAGGTATCTTTTTTGTTTGTTTGTTTTTTTGAGACAGGGTTTCTCTGTATAGCCCTGGCTGTCCTGGAACTCACTCTGTAGACCAGGCTGGCCTCGAACTCAGAAATCCGCCTGCCTCTGCCTTCCCAAGTGCTGGGATTAAAGGCGTGTGCCACCACTGCCCGGCCTGGGAGGTATCTTTATTACAATTTTGGAATCTTCTTCCCATCTTAGAGGATGCTTGCAGATAAGAGGACCTCCCCTGGGCAAGAGGAGGTAACTTGCCAAGGCTGTGCAGCCCTGAAGGCCCAGTGAGGGCCTGGGAGATGGGTCTTGGTTACTCTCATCTACCAGGACTGTCTGGATCCGAGATGACTTTTTTCCTGTGGCTTCGACCACAGAGCATTCCTGGTCTCAGGTGCCACAGTGGGTTATAATATCCACCTGGGGAAGACAGGGTCGGGGACACCAGGTGTGAGTCGTCATAGGATGCCAGGCAGTAGGAAAATCCTTGAAACATGACAGAGCTTGTGTTCCACTGCGTCTTTTCGCCTTTGTTAGCCTGTTCCTCTGCCTCAGTTCTCTTTTCCGGTCTCCTGCCTGGCTGACTTCTGTTTACCCCAGCTCAACTGTCACCTCTGTCAGAAAGTGTCCTTGCTGAGTGAGGTCACACTGGATGTATCTCCTGCTTACCCCGGGCAGACCTAGCACCTTGTTTGTATGGTTCGCTGGGGTCAGGCTGTTCCAACCCAGCCTCTGCAAAGAGCCAGGATGCTGGTGGCTTCTGTGCTACGTGATTCGCAGCTCCGGACACTAATTTGCTCCCTTGGGAATGGCTTGAGCAGGAAGCCTGGGGGATATCGGGGAGTCGGGTGGGGTAAGATGGGAAGCTAGTAGGGCGCTGGGCTACTGGCCTGGTTGCAGCCAAAGAGGTTGATGTGGGACCAGCTCTACGTGGGTGTGATCCAGCCTTCCTGTGTTCTGGTGTTTCTCATCTTTAAATTGGTTCGGTGCCATCCTGAGGCCACTTTCCACAGCTGAGGACAGTGACCTTCAGAAGTCCCCAGCTAGGAACTCAGATTCTAAGGTCAGCAGTTCCCAAGTTCACATTCCTCAGTCAGGTTAGAAATTACTAGAATTGGCACTGGGAAGTGTGTTTGTTGATTGACTAAAAGAATGAAGAAGGGAAGGAATGATTTCATGGAATGCCCAACTCAGGTAGGACACCTAGGGAGGGGAAGGGACTCCAGATTCCAGCCCCAGGCCTCTGGACACCTGTTCCCCCTCAGCCTCCCAAGGGCTCCCACCCCTTCCACCCCATCCCTGTTCCCTGCGCTCAGCCAGGAGGAGGAGCAGAGCAGGAGAGAAGGCTAACTTCCTGTCTTCTCTCCTGCCCACACTTTGTGACTTATTGTTTAACTTTAAGGGCCCCTCTGCTTTTATGAGGGTTATTTATAAAGCCCTGGGCTTTGATGTGCAGCATAAAAAAGCAAACTCCTGTGTCAGAAAATGTCACAGGGATTAGGGGAGCCTTTGAAGTCCCTTCCTGGCTGGCAGCGGCTGCCCAGCCGGCCCTACAAAAGGCCTCCAAGCCTGTGAGCCCTAGCCAGGGCCTGGGCCTCCTGTGGGGTGGAAGTGGCCCCTGGCCAGGTGGGTGACACTTCTCCCAGGCCCCTTGCACACAAGGCCTTCTTGGCCTCCAGATGTGGGTAGTGTCTCTCTCATGGTTATGGACTGGCTACACCTCACACTCCTGTGTCCTTCCCTGAGTCTTAGTGGCAGGGACCACAGGGCTTTGAGAGAGACACTCACCACTTAACCGTTGGGGAAAGGACAGGATATATTAGGATATATACAGAGAGAGAGAGAGAGAGAGAGAGAGAGAGAGAGAGAGAGAGAGAAGAGAGAGAGGAGAAAAGAGAGAGAGGAGGGAGGGTGCAGCTTCATGTACCATCTAGTCTCTTCCTCCCAGCCCTCAGGGCTAGCTGTACATCCTTCATTCTCAGAAGTCAGTGGGGTCCCAGCTGGGAGACTCAGGCACATGTGTGGTGAGGGACCCAGATAGACCGTGGGCACGGCAGTGGTCCCTGTGCCTGCAGTTTTCCTGTGGTATAAGCTCTGTGTGTGTGTATGTGTGTGTGTATATGTGTGTGTGCATTCATGTTTGTGTGTGCATGTATGTTGTGTGCATGTGTGTGTGCATGTATGTGCACATGTATGTGTATAAATGCATGTGTGTATACATGCATGTGTGTATGTGTGTGTATGTGCCTATGTGTGTGTATCTGTACCTGTGTATGCATCTGTATGTGTATATGCATGCGTGTATGTCTATTTGTGTATACCTGTGAGTTCATGTGTATATGTGTGTGCATGTGTGCAAGTGTGTGTGCCTATATGTGTGTACCTGTGTGTGCATGTGTATGCATATGTGTGTGTGTGTCCTTGGTCACATCTATCCAGCCACTCCCAACGACCCTAATATTTCTAGGATACTTTCTCTCCTGCTCCCTTTCAATCCCAGAATCCTCAGGGCTGAGCAGTGGGCAAAGGCAGGCCTCAGCTTGCCCCTCTAGGTTGTGAAACATTGGAGAAGCCTTTCATCTCTCAGGAAAGCCCTTGCCTGGTTTTCTAAATGGGAACATTACACTATACAGGGTGGGGTGACATTAATTGTTGTCACCCTCGAGGACACTCGTGGGGTTCGACACCCCTGGCGGGGCACACTGACTGCAGTCTCTTTACTCAATATGACGCACAAGAGAAGGGGGTGAGGGGAGCGTGGGGTCCAGGAGTGGCCTTCACCGTGACTCTGTGTGTGTGGAAACTGATCAAAGTACTTTCTTAAACTAAGCTAATTTTGTTGTATGTACAGTGTACTTCCCAGGGCAAAAATAATATATAAATGTAAAGAAGAAACACACAGACAGGCCACCGTGATGAACACTCATTCCACGACGCAGAGGCTGAGGCATGAGGATCACCGTGGGTTCGAGGCCAGCTTTGACTTCATAGTGAGGTCCTTTCTCTGCCCAAGCATGGGACAATCATGAGGACACACGTGACTGACCCGTGTGTTCTGGACATGCTACGAACATGTGACAGTGAAGGTGGCCCAGCCTGGAGTCCCACATGAGCACGTTTCACGCTTTCTGAGCTTGCTCCCACAAAGCTGTCTGGTTGGCTCTCCCGCCCCTTCCGGTAACCGTGACCACCCCTTCCGGTAATGCTCCTCCCCTTCCGGTAATCCTGGCGATGCTCTTTCCCTCGTGCAGCTTTACCCATGGCTAGCTCACAAGGTCAATTCTTTTTTTTTTTTTTTTTTTTTTTCTGTTTTTCGAGGCAGGGTTTCTCTGTGTAGCCCTGGCTGTCCTGGAACTCACTCTGTAGACCAGGCTGGCCTCAAACTCAGAAATCTGCCTGCCTCTGCCTCCCAAGTGCTGGGATTAAAGGCAGGTGCCACCACTGCCCGGCTGGTCAATTCTTAGGATCCAAACTGTTTGTTCATTTCAAGACTATAGAGTCCCAAATCCAAATCCCCATTCAACCCTCTGAGCGATCCAAGTTCCCACTCTGGCTGACAAGGCTGCCTCCAGCTTCTGCCAGCTCCTCCTGCTTCATCCCGCTCGGCTCAGCTGCTGTCCCTCTCTCCTGTCACAGGGCCTTTGCATCAGCTAGGCCACCTGCCTGCGAAGCTCCCTCCTTTCTCACCCCGTCTTCCTGCAGTGCGCTTCCTCCAGGGAGTCTCTCCTGGATGCAATTACTAAGCATGCCTGCAGCTCTCCATGCTCTGTTTTTGTCATTTCCCTGTGGAGGACTGGTCTCCATTAGCGTTAGGAGGTTTGGAAAGGTCTATAACCTGCCCTGCAACTAACCTGAGTTCCGGAGGATAGCGCTGGGGTTGATGTTGCCCCAGAAACTAAGGTTGGTATGCAAATGATTATTTAAGCAAGGGAGCGGAAAGAGGAGGGTAAGGAACTAGGAGGGATGGGTGAAGGTAAACATGTTCCATGGCACCCCCCACGGAAGGTAGAGGACAGTCTGCTAGCCCCACCCAGCACCCCAGAGGAGTGGCAAGCAGCTGCCACTGCCCCAGGTGAAATGCTAAGCTTTGCCATTGGCTAGGTGCCGCCCAACAAGCTAACTAAGGGGAAAAGAACCTCCCACCCCCACCCCCACCCCCAACTCCCGCTTTGTACAGTTGCCAGGATAGCCCTAGAACCCAAAAAGAAGCCTTGGAAGCTGAATCCCAAGCACGAGTAGGATTTCATGAGCACCCAGAGGGACCTAAGGGTCTTGGGGGTCCAGGCAGGACTTCAGTGTGCCTACGACAGATCTCCCTGTCCCAAGCACCTGACACAGTCCTTGGCCCAGAGGATACCCTTGAGAAGGGCTTGGCCAGTGAGTGACACGCTGAGGCTGCAAGTGTGGGTAAGGGGAAGGGCAGGGCTGCAGAAGAGAGCACACCCAGGCACAGCCATGAAGTGTGGAGCCTGCCCTGTCCAGGGAGAGGTCACAATTACACTCACAGCTCAGCTGTGCACCTTACAACTAATCCCCCGCTCTGACACCACACACACAGGCTACAGCCCCCGCAACAAAGCTGCTCTGACAGCAGCTGCTAGCTCAGGGCTCACCAGTCCTCTTCCATGTAAATAGGACCTACCGACTCCAAGATTCCCATGATGCCTCTTGTTCCATATATGGTTGAATGGTTCACAGAACTCAGGAAAGTGCTTGTCGTTGGGATGACCGTACAAAGGATAAAACCAGGACCCACCCTGCAA